CATTAGTGTAACCTTTTCACCTTGACTTAATACACTTAGCTAAACATAATGAAAGAAAGAAAAATAAATAAACAAAATAAGAACATAAATAAGATAAAAGTTAACTAGGTAAAGGAAAGGAATTGAAAGGTATAAACTTCATATTAATGAAAGCAAAACTTAAGCATTACAAAATACAAAAAGAGAAAGCAAGAGCATAATCTTGATATTGAAACTAAGATGCCTAAATGCATGGTAAATGCCTCCTTTTATAGGCCAAAATTGAGAACTATTGATTTGATGACTAATTGATGAGTGGGTGGTCAACTATTGACTTGGTGACAATCCTCATCTTCTCTTGTCTGCCCAAAATGTCATTGTTAACTTCAAGATTGAAACCACTTGAAAATATGAAAGTTGTAGGAAATTGTCTCAGTTTTCCAGGAAAAAAAATGGAGGTCATTTGGACTTCTAAATAGTGCTCGAGTTGTAGGACAGATTCGGACTTCTTTGTTGTTGCTACAATGTGGACTTAAAAATAGCATTTTTAAATCTTGGGCTCTATATAAAAGTTGTAGGCCTATATCTTACCTTTCCATCCATATAAAGTAGACCTAAATTTGAGATCTACAGCTCCAGATATAATTCAATTATTGATTAGTGTTCCGGTTTGGATTGCACTAGCATCTCTTTTCTAAGTTTGGCCATCTCCTTTTCCTTTCAATTTTTGTTCTTAAACTCATCAATCAATCCTTTCATTTATGTGATAGCCCTGCATTTAAAATGAATATTTACCATAAATTAAAGGTATCTTATGTTATTAGATATGTTATTATAAAACATGTTTTAGTTAAGGAGTTATTAATACTTTAAATGTAAAATGATAATGCTTTGAAATATAAAAACCCTGATTGTCCTACAATTTCTTGCTTTATTGGAGAACATAAAATTAAAAGAGCCTTACTTGATCTTAGAGCTAGTGTAAATTTACTTCCATATTCAATTTTTCACAGTCTCAATCTAGGTGAGTTAAAATCAACATCTGTAACTCTTTTACTTGCCGAGATCTGTAAAAGTGCCTAGAGGAATAGTTGAGGATGTGTTGGTGCAAGTCGATAAATTCATTTATCCTATGGATTTTATTGTGTTGGACACACAACCTATTGAAGCATGTAACTTATTTCCTGTTATTTTAAGACGTCTGTTTCTTGCAACTTCTAATGCATTGATTAATTATAGGAATGGAGTGATGAAGTTATCATTTAAAAACATGACATTGGAGATGAATATTTTCAACATTTGCAAGCAACCTAAAATGGATTACCCAAAATAAATCAATTGTTATTTGTTGTGTGGACATGTAAGATCATGGATTGTGTTTGGGCTGATTTGAAAGTTGATTGGGGATGATTTGGGGCTGATTCGGGGCTGAATTTAAGCATTAAATAAGTATACAAATGTACCTATTATTTGGGCTAAGATTGACATTGAAACCTTGAGTGTTTAATTGTTGAAGTTTGCGCATAATATAATGCAAGTTTGGGCTTGAAATAGATCATATGATATTCTTTTCCAAAATTGGAATAGAATTGATTTTTGGGACAAATTTGGAGCACTTATTTGAACCAAGATTTGCTTCAATCTTCAACTAAATGTCTCTTCAATTCTTTGTTCTGAATTCCGACATTGAATTTTCTGAATTAATTCATTTAAGCTCCAAAAACCTATCGAAACATTAAAACAAACTTCATTACTAAAAAGCACATCAATTATTATAAAAAAAAACCAAATAAAAACAATAAATACATATGTAAAATAAGAGATTTAATGACACTTTTGATGCACAATCATGCATTAAAATACATTTTATATGTATTTTTAATTACTAAACCATGTAGTTGATATCAAACCAGATGTGTAATGAGTCCAGCCTAACACACACCCTTTCCTCCTCATTGTTAAGGAAAGACTTGTCACTCACACCCACTAAAGGTGCTCTCTAATAAAAGGTACAGCCCTAAATAGCACTACACTTTTCTTATAGCTTCGTCGTCCTATGATAGCTCACCATCACCCATTTTCCTCTCTAGCTTTTCGACCAAGGTGACTTTTTTTAAAGTCTTCCTCATTGGCCACTTTGACCTATTAAAATATTAAACCAAGGGAAAAGCCCCCCTTCAGCATTATTGATCAGGGTGTAGCATTGCCTAAAAACCTTGATTATGGTTCCTCATCTACCATTCTGAGGAACTTGTTGAATACATGTAAAATGATCCATCCATTAGGGTGGAATTGAGCTAGACTTATATTGTAATATCTGAATATTTCCTTTATAAAACCTTGTAAAGAAAACAAGTATCCAAACTCGTACATGGAAATAAGGGTTGTAATTAAAAATTTATGCCCATTGTGCTTATTGGTGATCTTTTAAACATGGTCACTATATTCTGGTAACATTATCACATAATCTTCTAATTGTAGGAGATTAGCCTAATCCACTTGGTTTGGAGTTATTATGTTGTAAGCATTATTAATAGGAGTTCTGGGCATATATTCTTTTCATTTGAGGCTTGAAACCTCTTGAGGACTTCTATCTTCCTTCAATCTATAAAAGGAAGATGAAGAAGTATTGATTCTAGACTATAGGCCAATCCTAATGGTCGACAATCTCTAGTGAGCGTCATCAGTTTCTGACCTAAAGGTAAAATCCTTCTTAGGAGATACTTTCTTATTCTTTTTTTTCTAGAAAGAAAATAAGAAAAACTAAGACAAAAGGCATACAAGAAAAGATGAAGATAGAGATTTAGTTTTACCCAAATAAGAAAAAAATTTCTACAATAAAATTGTCTTATTCATGTGTCTTAAACCTCATAAGGAAATAGAGAAAACAATTTAACAGAAGTAAAAATACACAATTTCAAGTGAAGGAAGGTTTTTATATACAAGTCACCCACTTTTTCTAGCAATAGATGAAGGATGGATGACATCTCATTATAACCCTAAAAAGGCTAAAAGCCAACAAATATTCATTGCATGTCGTCAGGGGATCTTCCCAAGATATTTGCTTCCTATTCTGTAGGAAATCCTTTCTAATCCTAAATGAAGAAAAAGACGTATCTTGATTGGTAGTCAACCAAGGTTTAAATGTCTTTTCCTAAAGGAAGAAAAAGACGTATCTTGATTGGTAGTCTCTCAAGACACATTTTAAGCCTTTTAGTGTGATACACACAAAAGGCTTACGGGGTAACTAATAAGGTAATTATTATTGGCATATCTTTTTAAGACTTGAAAATGTCTATAACAAGGTGGGTGTAGCGATATACTAGACTTCAAAACAATTGATTTAGATAATTTGTCAAACCTAATGTAAATTGGATCTGATGATGTATCTGACCTGAGACAATATGAGCCTAGTGAACTATTAAACCCAATGCATTTTGGTTTAGCAATCTACTGAATTGAAGAGAAATAGGTCTAACATTATATCTGGCCCAAAACACTTGGGTTCGGTGATAATCCTGGGGTTGGTGATATGTCAATTCTAGTAAACTTGGGTTCAACTATCAATTGAATCTAAATAAACATGAATCTGACAAGATGTCGAACCCAACATGCTTAGATTCAACCATTAGTTGAACCTAAAAAAACATTGGCATGACGAGATGCTAGACTCAACCTACTTGGAATTATTATCTAAACCCAAGCAAAATGGGTCTAGCAAGATGCTAGATCCAATATATTTAGATTCAGCAATTAGTTGAACCCAAGGCAATATGTTAGGTCATAAATAAAAATCCAAATTAAAAGTATTATAGGTTGCATAAATTATCATATCGTTTAACCTCCTTTGGATTACATCCTAAGTTTTGAGTATCCAAGACTAAAAAATTTTACTTTTAAAACAATTATATGAATTATCCATATATAAAGAGATAGTCTACTTATATTTATAAAGGTATAAAAAATCTCTTAAAAAACCTACAACACTTACCATTTTATTAATAATATATAAGAGATATTTATCATTTATTAATGTCATAAAAAATAAAAGACTTTTCAGTTATTACCTTCTTTGAAAATAACAAGATTCAGGAAATATAAATACATTCTCAATCGATAAAAAAATTCTAAACGCTTTTAATTTTAAATAATTTTCATATATTTTAAAGTATTAATCACTCTGAAATGCATGAATAAACTTTTTAATTATTTATTATTTTTTTTATAAAAAAACTAATTTTATTATCAAATAATCTTTAAATGTTAGGACTATTATTACATGTACATAGAACTTTACCATTAATTTAATGCTTCCTGAGCTGTATATAAAACCAAAAACATTTACCTAAACATCTTAATTAGCCATTACTCACAATCTAAATAACTTATTATATATAACTTGGACTTTAAAACATCATTATGAGTAGAAAAAAGAGAGCAGAAAGAGGTCGTCTTCTCTAATTTGGAAACCCACAGCTAAAAGGTGTTTAGCACAGTTTTTATTTTTATTTTTAGATAGTTTTTAAAAATATTTTATTTAAAAAATATTAAATTAATATTTTTTATGTTTGGTGGTTTTAATATTATAATATAAAATATAAAAAAATATTTTAATATATTTTAAAAAAAATATTTTAAAAAGCTATGTTAACCATAATATGAAAAACTCTCTAATATACGGCGGAAGAGTGGGCAGGAACAGCCTGAGTACAGTTGCCATTGTTGAATGCATGACCCCCCAGTTGACTGGCCTTCTTCGAAGTACAACTATCATTCAATTAAAGAGGCCACCGTCTTTATCTCATTTCTCATGATGTATCATTCTCAGCAGACTTTCTTAAACGTGCCTCCGTAGTTTCATGCCTCGTAATCAATGTGCCATCAAACTTCAAGCACCTTTTCAAGTCGAACCAAAATTTCTCCCTTTTTTTACTCGAGCAGCTCAAAATTTGATGGGAGGAGGAACAAATATTTACGTATGGTAAGTAATTAATTAGTAGCTGCAGCTAGTAATTCACAAGTTCACCATCACTCCGTGAAAATATTTCGATTTTAACTTGCCTTCGAAAAGCAACTACGTACTATCCATGGAGACCAAAAATATGCATCCTACTACGAGATAACAAGAGTATATGTTTAAGAAACGACGAAAAGAAAATTCTCCTCCCTGGTATGGAGACAAGAAGGTGTTACGTATATCTACATATAAAAAGCTCAGAGTGATGCCCCTGAGTGCTCAGCTTCTTTTCCACCCTTGACAAAAATACCTGGGAGAAGTGAAGCTAGCTAGATAGAGCTCTAAAGTGAGGTTGCTGTGGATCCATTAGGTTTTCTCTCAGGAACCTTGTTGTTGTGGCTTCCATCCCATGTTTCTTCAGAATTCCCTCTCCTTCCACCACCATATGCAGCGGCTGCTGCTGCTGCAACATTAAAGCCATCAGAACCATTGTAGTTTAGCAAAGCAGAACTAGCAGCATCCAAGCCGAGCCCAAGAAGGTCGAGTGTTGTTGGCTTCTTTCCAAACAACGAAGATGAATTCATCATAATATCACTAGTGGGGAGTACAAGTCCAAGCCCAGCGGAAAAAGTAGTATTATTCTCTGGCTTCATGTCCCATTTATTGCCATTGCCGTCTTGATTAGTTGAAGGGGGAAAACCTAAACCACGGAGAAATGATGGGTTTGATGTAGTTGCACCCATTTGTGCTGCTTTTTTAAGCAATGCAGTGGCAGACATGGCCGGTTGCGGAGACGGTGTGTAATGGCGCCGATCTTGGTTTGTGGGGAAGAGAGAGGAGGTCGGGTTTGGGAGATAAATTGATGGTGAAAGAGTCTGTGAAGGGGGATCCATTGCTTTAGGTGTTGGCATGGTAGGGGGACAATCAGAATGAGCTAAGCCACAAAACATTGGAAACGGAGATAGTGATGCTTGTCGTGGGATAGCAGTCAGTGATGCTGTTGAAGAAGCCAATTTACTAGCAAATACATTACTGGTTGAGCTAGCTGAGCTTGTGCTCGTAGATGAGTCATGCAGGCATATAGCTGCTGGTGTTGGTGGTGAAAATCTAATTGAATTTTCTGCCAATTCTGTGATGAGAAACAAAGAAAGAGAGGACATTAACCCAGAAAAAAAATAAAAATAAAAAAAGTAGGAAAACAAATGCATTCATCCTAAAAACCAAAAAGAAAAGGATATGATAGCAAAAAATGGTATTTTGTTCTGGAGAAACTGGCGTTATATTTTAAAGTGATTTTTTATTTTTAAATATATTAAATTATTATTGTTTTTATTTTTAAAACATATTTTAAGTGTCATGATTCAATATATATATATATATAAAGACAAAATTTAAAGTTAGAAAAACTTTTTTTTTTTTTTCAAAAACCCAAAAGGTAGTAGCTTGAACTAGAAAAGCTTTATTAAAAGCAAAAGCTCTTATGGAATCCTTTCTCTCAAAATTTCAATTCAATTATATTATAGTGTAGTTTTACGATCTTAGAGCTGACAACTTACTGACTTGTACTTACTAGCAAGCAGCTACGGCTACCCTTGAAAGCGAAACGCAACACTATCCTTCTCTCCCTCTCACACACCCACCCACCGACCCACCCACCTTCGTTAATATTCTCCGGTCTATCATCCATACGAGAACGACGTCAACAAGATACAAAACACAAACCAAACCAAACCCATTTACCCAACACAAAACTATAGACTTCAATCCATTATATTCTATCCACAGCCACAAGAAAACAATAAATAAATAAATCAACCCATGATAGTACGTACTAGCTTGCTAAAATTATGTACCTGAGCTTTGAACTGACAAACCCGGAGACACCACGCTAGTAGACGGCGTAAGTGGTGGAGGCGGTGGTGAAGCAACCACACACTTGACGTCACAACCATTCCCTTCATTCCCCGTTATCGCTAGGGTTTGCGCCCTTGCACTCTCCTCCGTTAACGCATCACAGAATGCCCTATGTGTTATAAAACTATCTCTCCTATATAAAAACAAAAACAAAAACAAAACCAAAACAATTAAAAATTAAAATCAATAACATACAAGACAAAGTGCGTAAGAAAAACAAAATTATTTGACGCTTACCTTGAAAACAAAGTGCCACAATCGCATTTATACTCTCTAGCGCCACAAGTTTTCATGTGAGCTTTCCAATCAGACTGAACAGCATATTTCTTTGAACATCTCTCACACTTCCACTTTTTCTCACCGTGCTTTCTGCTGAAGTGTTTTTTAATGCCAGTAAGGTCCCCCAGAGCTCTAACTGGGTTGTGATGTACACAAGATGGCTCTGGACACACATAGACACGTTTCCTTGGCTCTTTGTTGGTTCGTTGCTTTAGCTTCCATGGAAAGTTATGGCCTCGTCTGTGAAGTTGCAGGTCCTGGTCCCTTTGAAAGCCCTTGTTACAGATCTCACACACGAATCTGTTTGTAGCTAATAAAGACTTTGGTGATAACGCAACTACTTCTGCATCTGGATCTGAAAAGGAAGAAATTAAATTGAGTTTATTAAAAAAATTAGCTGACAAAAATAAAAGTTTCGAAATTTGGGGTTCTTTAGTAATGGTTTTTATAAGTAAATTACCTGGCATTCCAGGGAGATTTCGCTTCTTCTTTGGTTGTGGCACGGTAACGGAGAGTGGCATGCCTTGGTTACCAAATGAAGAGACAATTGTGTCCTCTCCTGAAGCTGTAGATACTTTCATTCTTAATGAATTCTCAACATCCGCCATCTCTTTCCTTCCAAAACTTCAGCTTTTTCCTGTTCAAAACTTACCATTAAAAAAAAAAAAAAAAACCTCCACTTCTCCAAGTCTCTGAGCTTGCAAAAGATGGCCGGCAGTAATCGTATACTAGCTAGAGGGTTTTGATTCACAAGGTCAACTAACGAGAGAATGGATGTTTACACCTAACTAGAAGCCTCAATGAAATGAATTCTTGGACATCAAATCACCAGGATACCAATCCACTAGAGCTGGTGTTTTGGATACTGATATTCTGATTTCTTTCAGAATTCAAGAAGGAAGAAAAAACGAGAAAAAAACAACTATGTTTTGAAAATTCTGTGTGTGTTTCTTTAGCGCTCTCTCGCAATGAAGGGAAATGAAGCCCCGTTTTCACTCGGCCAGTGACTCATCACACCCGAGTTTCATAGTCCCAAAAGGCGGCTACTTGAATTCATGCTCATCTTCAGAGGGGAAAGAGAGGACCAGAGGGAGACACAAATAACATTGAAGACAGGAGAGAAGAATTTTGGATGACGTGGAGAAAGTAATTTTGTTTTTTTACAAAAAAAAAAAGAGTTGAAGCGGCGCCATTTAACCGTGGTTGATCTTGAACCTGTACTTTATGGATTTATTTAATTGTAGTTAAGAGAGCTTATGCATTTTGCCAGGGCACCAACTCTCTCCCGCTGAGCTGCGCAATAAATCCTACCGTCCACGTGTCAAATCATGCTGTTTGCTGACATTTGTCGTCACTAGTCGGACTAGGCGGTGCTTGTCGTTTTATGGAGAATAAATTATTTTGATGTTAAAAAAATTAGTAAAAACATTATTTTAATTATATCTAGCTGCATATTTTTTTGGGAACTTTTCGAAAGGCAATAATAATGGAAAGACATTAGTACCCATGCTAGATTAGGATTTCACATAGGATAGTTCGGTTTATCGGCATATACTTCTAATAATCTTATGTATTTTTATTTCAGCAATTACCTATCCTTAAATTTGTACTCGTGACTTGGATTCTGTAATTGTGTGGCTTGTGCTTCTTCGGCTATGCATAATAAATCCTCATTTTCACATGTGTGTTTGATTTTGTTTGTTAAGGGAAAAAACCCCATTTGTCTCATGTACTTTGAATGTAAATATGTTATATGTTCCACGTGTCTTTCCTATGTATTGTTGAAATTTGATACATATATTTGAAATTAATTATATTTAAATTATATGATTATTTATTTTTTCTATAATTTGATTCTTATCATAAAAGTAAAAGATATATATTTTATTGATTAGTCACAAAATCCAAATTATTTAAGAATAAAACTGATATGTTAGATAATTAATTAATCTTTTAATTCAATTAATTCATTTATTTTTACTAGAAAAATAATTTCACTTAAAAGTTTCTTAGTTGTCCATGTAACAAAGAGGGGATTTATGTCATTGTAATTCAATCTCTTCCACTCATATGTGATTTTTCATAACTTATTTCATCTTAAACAAATTTTTATCTAGTAAAGCATAAAGTTTTCTCTAAAGAATAAGTTCTCTTACTTCCTATCAAAACTCTTAAAGCTATTGACTTAAGTAATTATTCCACCTTGAACATCTCCTCATTAAACCTCTTTAAATACGTTCATGTAGACTCACTCTCTTGTTGGGTAAAACCATATAATTTCATTGAGCTTTTCTTGGTGAGTATGCTGATGATAATTTCTTCATTGAACCTTTTCAAATATATTCGTGTAAACTCGCCCTCTTACTAGGTAAAATCAAAGAGTTTCATAGAGCTTTTTTTGACAAGTATGGTGATTCTAAAACGTGTCATTAACTTAGCACATAAGTCACTGATTAGTACTTAAAAGTGCATTTTTATCAAGGTTTTATATCATCATTTTGCACTTGAAGTATCAACAACTCCTTAACTAAAGCATGTTTTATAATAACATATCTAATAATATAAGATACCTTTAATTTATGGTAAATGTTCATTTTAAATATAGGTCTCTCACATAAATGAAAGGATTGATTGATGACTTTAAGAACTTAAATTGCAAAGACAAAGAGATGGCTAAACTCCAAAAAGAGATGTCGGTGCAATCCATACCGGAACACTATTCGGTAATT